TAATCTGCTTGTTGGCAGACCTTAAACTTCTCAAGTATCAATAGTTTGTAATCCCAAGCATTTGTTCTGACATATATTTAAAAAAACCTTGGTGCTTTCCATGTAATAGAAAATAAGTATGTAAATTCCTTCCTGGGTTAATTGTGTTTATAGAGCACAGGCATGGATGCTATCAGGGCTGAGTAAGCAGCAAGGTATGAAAGTCAATTGATGACGTTTCTTTTGCAAGGCACTAAGCTCTGAGTGAGACTAAGACCATTTTGCATTTACAGTCAGGAAGTAAAATCATTTTGGATCTAGATTTGATGTTTCACTGATCTGAAATTGTTATCTATATTAGTCTGCATATTTCTGATTCTTTTAAACCAGTGTTCCAACATTTGTAGCATGCCTCTTAACTGTACTCTTTAAGGCTTGAATATCTACTCTGGAGTCCTGCCATCCTGGCACCACTTTGTTCCTACTAGGTGTTATGTAATTATAAGGCTGTTGGAACAAAGTAGCCTCTGCCTTGTAAATGGGCATCCAGAAAACAGGTATGAGCACAGATACCATGTTTTCCCGAAAATAAGACCCTGTCATATATTTTTTTGAACCCTGAAAAAAACGCTTGGCAGTGAATGGTGCAGTTTTTTTCCAAGAGACTGGTGGATTATTCTGGCAGAGTTTCCCTTCCCTTCAAGCATCATTTGCCAGCAAGGAAAAGCAACAATCTATTGCTCTCCTTAGTGTGTAGTGAATGGAAAACACAGAAAGATGCTTAGAATGGCTAGTTTAGTCACATGTCAAGTTGCCCAACTAATGGATCATCTTTTCAGAAGTAATATGTATCTACCTACCGTGTTTCCCAGAAAATAAGACCCTGTATTATATTTTTGGGAACCCCGAAATAAGCGATTGGCCTTATTTTTGGGGAGGTCTTATTATTTTGTGGCGCATGGAGCAAGATGGGGCTCCTCTTGCCGTCTTATCTGATTTCTAGCTCTGCGTTTAATTATTTTCAGGGAGGGCTTATTTTCGGGGGGAGGCTTATTTTAGTGCATGCACTCAAAAGTCCAATTCGACTTATTATCAGGGGATGTCTTATTTTTGGTGAAACAGGGTAGTCAGTCCTCAATTTACTTATTTATTAGGCTTGTTTTCCGCTTGTCTCACCTAGAAATAATCATTCATTTAACAAATATTCGAAGTTACAACAGCACTGAAAAAAGTGATTTACAACAGATCTTCACACTTATAACCATCACAGCATGCCCGCGTGATCAAAATTTGGGCACTTAGCAATATATTTTTGATTTAATGTTGCAGCATTCCAGGACATTTGATTCTATTGTGACCTTCCCAGCCAGCTTCAGAGAATCAAAATCAATGTGAGTTAATGACCACATGATTCACTTAACAACTGCAGTAATTCACTTAACAATCATGTCATTAAGAGTCATAAACCTGGGCACAACTCACTTAACAACTGATTTGCCTAGCTATGGAAACTCAGGCCCCAATTGTGGTGATAAGTTGGAGTTTATTGTATCTGTTCTCTAGCTGGCGAAATAAAGGGAGTTGTTCATTCCCAGTTCTATGTTTATTTTTCGGTTTATCCAATTAAGGCAGATTAAATTGAGGTATCAGGCTAGGGAAAGTTGAAGTGGATTGCATTGGAGTGGATAATTGATTTGACTAATGTTGGATTAGTTCAAGAATAGATGTCAACTCCCCACCCATAACTGCACAGGAAACAGAATCTGCTATTCAACAGCTTCTGCTTTGTTATAAAAATATATAACCTCTGAACATTGTACAAAGTCTTTATCTCACAGATGTCATCACATTGGATAATCCAGTAAAGCAAAGTGAAATACCATATAAGGATTTGGTTGCTGTGTAAATATCTTATTCCAGTTAACTCAAAACATTTTCTAATAAATGGTGATTTTAGTTGTGGAAAGAATAAAAATAAGAAGAAAGTAGATAATGAGTGACATTGCTCCATCTCTGGAAATTGAATTTCTTTTAGGGCTAGATAAATCTGGGAATATTACTTTTCAGGATTCCGTATGCTTCCAAAACAAAAAGTAATGCTTAAATGAGGTCAAACTCTAGATTACTTAAATTTGCAAATGACTCTGTTTTACAATCAGCTTTGTCACTTTAGTGCACACCTAATTATAAAATTCATAAAATATAGATTGAGGGTGAGGGGGCATGTTGCTTAACTTTTTAAGAAATATATAAGTTATCTCCTAACATGGGTGCATCTTAACAGATGGGTTGGACTAGAAGACTTCTAAGGTCTCGTCCAACTCTGTTATTCTGTTATATCAGGAACTGATAGTTTTTGGTATAGAAAGAGGTCCTTTTGTTTATTTTTAAATTCATTCTACCCCATTTTCACATCAGTTGGAATAAAAGTGTTATTTGTTTATTTGTTGTTTGTTTTTACCATTTTCATGGCTACCCATCCTGTTATAGCAATTCTACATAGCTTATATATTGACCACTGTTATAATTGTTGTAAATCTTTTTGGAGTTTTATTAACTAACTAACTAAATAAATAAATAAATAAGGTCTAAATAAATCACTTCCATTTGATGAACCACGAACAGTCTATAGACAGCTAACCAAGACTCACATAATTGATCCCTGTGCCTCTCAATTGCAATGCATGAGGCCAAAAAAAAAAAAAAAAAGCTTTTTAACACCTTATGGGAGGTACATAGGGTGAGAGGTAGATTTTGGCAGGACAGAGGGGCGGAGACCTCGAACCAAAAGACAGGCTCTGTGACAGATAAGGCACTACTTTAACAGAGAGGATCTGGAGAATGTTCATCCTGCTAGATCTGCAGGGTGAGCAGAAATATTTGGAGATAATGTTGTATAGAGTATTGGAGATGCTAAACCAGCACCTTGAAATGCACTTGGATGGTCAGGAGGACCACTTGCCAAGGAGTCGGGTTACATGAATGTAGCATCTTGTGCTCAACACTGCCTGCATTGCCTCATTCTGTATCATTTTGGGTTGTTTAATTTTCCAATGCAGTTTGCCAATGTGTGCATCTGTGTTTGTATGTATGTGTCTATATAATTATAATGTGTATATAGGTGTGTGCATATTGGTAAGATATGTATAAAAATGTACATATTCATAAAAATTAAATAACCTGTTTTGTATTAGGGAAAGTTCTTTTCAAAATCTATTCAGGAAATATTATAAGCAAAATGTGTATGGAGGAATCCACTCCCAAATTCATAAATAAAAAATAGAACAAAGTAATTTGAAAAGAAAAATGCCTACCTGGGTAAACCAGATTTGCAAAAATAAGAACTGGAAGAAAAAAAAATATTTGACATCTCTTTAAGATAACTTTCTATAGTCTAATCACTCCAGATGTCAACATTTCCTTATCATATTCATTATAGACAATATAAAGTTGTTAGGTTTTTAAAAATAAATTCTTGCTCGATTTGGGAAAGTTCTCCAGAAGTATGGACTTCATCTCTCACAATTATTGGCAATGACCATGCTGGCTTTGAATTCTGGGAGTTGGACTACATGCACCTAGAGGTGCTAAAGTTGGGAACTGCTGATAGGCAATCTAACTTTCTGATTATCTGCCTTGTAGTCTCATGCTCTTTCTCTGCCATTATTTTTCCTTTAATGGCATGTGTATATGTATATGAATAATGTTACAGCATTAGGAAACCAGGCCAATTTTAATTTACCTGAATGGGTAGGTTCTGGGTATTAATCTGAAAGAATAGATCATTTCACCCAGTGTTATCTATCTGGTATTACCAGTTCTCCTCAGAAAACATTAGGTAATCCATTCAAGGTTTTTCGGAATCTTCCTTGTGCAACTAGAAGTTGCAGTCATGAACTGGTCTTGACATGTTCAGTGAAAGAACTGGTTTATGGAGGTACATTTTGCTGCCCTTTTATGGGCAACTTTAAAAACCATAAACTCAGCTTCCATGGAACCCTAGTTTTCTCCCTCCCAAACACTGGGAGGGGCATAAAAATGATTTTATTCCACAGCATGCTAAAAAGGGAAAGGTCAGGGTGGTCTCTTTCTGAAACAAGCCTTTGTGGTAATTCTTGGGAAAATAAAAGGGTTATTTGTTTTGGACATTCAGGAGTTGCATTCTCTCTAAAATGTAATTAAAGTCATTTATGTTAAGAATTATTTGAAAGAGGGCTTAGAAAGCCCTTCTTTATCGGAAGTTGGATGGCCATTTTCAGAAATGTTGCTTTTTCCTCCTACATTGTAGATTCTGCTTTCAATACAACTAAATGACCTCCACGTTCTCCACCTATCCATAACATTCCCTGATTCCATATGTAAGATATTTTGAGAGTGTAAATAATCACTAGTATAAGGAGAATATGCAGTATGCTGTAATCATCTAAGCAAGACATTTGATTTATGCAACAAATCCCTATGAAGCCTGTGTTTGGGCAGTAGTTCCCCACTGATCTCCTGGGGGGGTGGAATAAACTTTTCTCCTTCCAATGCCAGTTCCTGCTAATCAAGGTTCGGTGTAATGTATGATTAAGCAATTGGAAGCAGCAAAAGGCAAAAAGATGACCATCAAAAAGGTTACTACAGAAGAACTGTTTATTGTTCTTTGGGTATAGAGGTCTAGCCATTATTAAGGTATCTCTAATGGATAGTTCTTAGCTTCATATATGTATGGATGTACCAGAATCAATTGATTTGTCTTTATCACATTTCAGCATTTATGTCAATATAAAACAGCCCTACCTCCAGAATCTCTCAACCTTTTACCAAATTTTCTCTCTTGAATATACTAGAAAATTTACTCATGTCTAGGAAAATTTTGGACAAGTAATACACCTCTTGCTTTTCTATACATATTCTAGTGATAAATAACTTGCCAGGTATTCTTCTAGTGATACAACTGTGCAGCATTTGCTCATGGAATGAGGAAAGTTCTTTGATGGTCAAACTTAGATACTCCAATTACTGGGAACCAGAATAAATTAATGATACTATTATTTATTTTGAGGTTTTAAAGAAGCACGATACAACAGAAGATGGAGAATTATTTGCATTCATATTAAATTACATATGGATGAAAGATTGAGAAAAAGAATTCAGGATCCCCAAAGAACGTATATAGAATGTTTTCATTAAATAGTCAAATCTGTATATGATTTGCAGCTAAGTAAATTTTCCTTCACATTGGAAATCATGCCTGCCGTTTGATCTCAGTAGTATGTGTAGAGACTACCTCTCCGTCCACAGTCTCTTGCACAATTTTCTTCAGGTTTTGATTGCTTGATCTGTGTTCTGGAAAAAAATTGGTCATGTATTAGGAGAGAAGCATCGTTATACAATTAATTTTGTAAATATGCTTGAGACTAAACTATGGTGTGATGGGATTAACAAACAGTTGGGTATAACTTCCCAGTTATAGAAATGTAATACCGAAATGCAGACACAAACCCAAATAGATGGAATAGATTGAAAATGCAACATGTTTGCAACTCACAATCATAGTACTGTAGGATGCATATACTGTAGTTGTGAGAGCCATTTTACCCAACTGTGAACATGAATAGATTGCTAATGATAATATAATGCTAAAAGAAGAACCATGATGGATTGTTGAAAAAACATATTGATCAACATCTTGTTTCCACAGTGGCTTAACAGATAACTCTAGGAATACTTTTAATCTTGCAAGATTCTATTAATATAACCTTACAATAAAGATAGAGCTAGTATTCATTCTTGTGCTTCTAATCGGACTATTTTAAAGGTTAACACTAGTCTTGCAAGTCTGAAAGTATTTTCCCCTTTTTTTCTTTTACTGTCCAGAAAATTAGGAAAGGTTTCTCAAAGGTACTTTTTCAAGAGCCAACTAGACAAGAGACGAAGTCCAGTTTCCTTTTGAAAAAGCTCCTTTGGGACAACCATGACCAGGATGACTGAGAATCTCCGTAGACATTTAGGGAAGGTCTCTTTTACATGATGGTTGTCAAGTCAGCAGTTCATCCTTCTGTCGCCCAGGCTCATTCCCACATATCATCACATTTGGTTTCCAGCAATGAGTATTTTGCAGCTTGCTACTTTTCATCCTGAAATATTCATCATGATTGGCAGCTGATGATAGCTTTAATCTTATATTCATGTACTAATCCTCTTCTAAAGCTGTCTGAGACTTTTCCTACAAAAATAGAATCTAGATTATATTTACCTCTAAGGCTTGTGCCGGTCTTCCTGTGAAATAATAAAAGCAATATCAATAAAAATGGTCTGTACAAATCTGTTCCATGTCATTCTTAAGATTGTTCACAGAACCTTTTTGCTTCAAATCCGAAGTATTGTAAAGCCCTAATTTCTTATCCTTAACAGTTGCATCAAAAAACACAATTCTTTCCAGGCTGGAAATCGCTTCTACGCTATTTCTAAAATGAATGCTAATTCTAAAATATTTCTTAATTTAAAACAAAACAAAACAGGAATCCCTTTAAAAGAAATAGATCAACTGTGACAGGAAGAAAGGCTTAAAATCTCTTGAGAACTGACTCATCATGCCAAAATCTTGTGACAGAACACTTGGACAATTCTTTGGGTGTCTGGTCATTACACAAGGGTGTATGAAAAAGGGTTGTGGTCCTTCAGAATGCTTTTTACTTGGAAAGGATAGCATTTGCCCCCTATGTATTTTGATCTCAAATTGCTTTCAGAATTGTTTCTTCACTAGCTTCAATTTTTAGATTATAAATTTGTTATTTCCTTTTTCTGCTTGAGGTTGACTGTGTCTTACCAATCAACATCACCATCCAGAAGCTGGCGGTAAGTAGAAATTTCCCTCTCCAGACGTGTTTTTATTCCGAAGAGGACCTTGTACTGATTATTTTGATACTTGATATCATGTCGAAATTTGCTGAGCTCTTCTTCACATTTTTTGATGAGGTGTTGGATACTTTGAAGCTGGAAAGCATAGCGAGCCTTGGTTTCTCCCAAATTGTTTTCTAGGGCAAATTTCTGAAAGAACGAAACATGTCAACAGTGTTATATTTTCAAACTGTGTTCTGCAACGCAGAAACCAAGAAATACCCTTATTTGCTGGATATGTGTAAATGAAATTGTTTGTCTGTAGCAGTGTTGAAATCATATATTTATATTTTGTCTATAGGTTTATTATTATTTATGCAGAGTGGAGAGATATTTACTTTTCCCTTCCTATCCTGGCTTCCTTTCCTCTCTATTTAAATCTAAAAAGTAAAGAGCTTGAAGCAATAACTTGCTTTTCAAACTGCCATATTAATTAGTGTTGGTATGATTTACTCATTGTCTGATTGCACAATTTTTGCTTATGGAGAATGATTATCTCCCCCTCACTCCCCGCTTTTTTTTTCTTTTTTTTTTCTTTTTTTTTTTTCTTTAGTGTTTATGGTGGCCTACAATTGCCCCAGGCCAGTATCTGGAATATTTTATTTTATTAGTCCTTTTATGATAGTTCAGTTTCTCAGGAGGGATTAATATATAATAAGAAAACTGAAGTAATAATCTATAGTACCTGTACAGAATCCCTTTTTCTTCCCTGCTATTTAATCACACCACCATATTTTGTGCATTTAACCCAGAAAGGCAAATTCCTACTCTTCTAGGATATCTCTTTCAGGGGCACTGACACCTCAGAATAGTTCTCTCTTTAAAATCCTATGATTTTAAAAGGACTTGGGGCTCTTTAAAAGCTTATATCCATTCAGCTGTAAAATCTTTTTAGCAGAAATCGGAATCCTACAATAGATCCAATAGTAGAAGCATTGCCAATGAGACTTCTGCCTGTCATGCAACAATGAAATGACAGGGAAAGTGAAAAGTACATCTTGGACTTTCTTACTTCTGGATCTACCAGACACCTTAAAAAATGTACTATGCTATTCAAAGGTCTGTTTCAACAAGAATGAGCAAGCTATGTTGCCAGCCTCCACCCACCCACCCCAAATTTGCTGAACTAGACCTCCTCTATGCTTTAGCATTGGTGGATGGGGAAGGGGTCACCAGTTTTCCAGAAGACAATTTGCACACCTATTTTAGAACTTACATTTCTATAAGGATAAAAATAATGCTACAGATCAGAATCTCAAGAGCTGTGACTTTCTATCCCAAGAATGGTACAGAAAACCTGTCTTGATACCGTAACACTGTTATGGTTAATTGTATTCTCCATGAAGGTGATAGATTATCTCTAAGAATGCTATTGATTAATTGACTGATTGATTGATCACATTGATTGAACCTTCTGCGCATGCCCAAGATGGCGGATTTGAGCTGAGACGCTCCCGGGAGAAAGGGGCGATTCCTGGCATTTTGGGGACCGCGGGGGCAAATTTGATCATCCTGGCCCCCAGTCCTAGTGAAAGGGGCTTCCTCCCAGCATATAGAGGGTTTTCTCGCCCTCCGGAACACCAGGACTGAGGAGATACGGCCGTCAGAAGGCGCCGCGGGGTGGTGGCAGCAACAGCTGTTCAGCGGTGCTTCCCCCCCCCACTATGGTCGGCGGCGGTCGGGACGGCGGCGGCAGCCTTGCAGCAGCGGCGGCGGTGAAATGGGGGTCTCCCCGGCTCTCCGGTCTCTCTGGGGTCTTTTTAAGGCCCCTGGCGTGTCTGGAGCGTGGTGGGAGCCTCGGTGGAGACGGCGGCGGCTGCGGCACTGGTGCCTACGAGGCTTGGACTGCCTTGGACGCTGGTGGAGGCGAGGGGGCAGCAGCCGAACGTGGGGAGAGGCAAATTGCCAACAGCCCGGACCTGTCAGGGGCTGGCTCTACGGACCCATTTCCTGGCCGAATCCGGAGGCCCCCCCTGAATTGGGGCTGCAGACTGGGGATAAAAATGACTAAAGACCAGGGAGTGGGAGAGGCTGGAGGATGGCTGAGGGCTGGCCGTGGGCTGCCTCGGGCCATATCCTCCCCCCCTTTTTTGGCTTGTGTAGGCCTTATTATAGTCATTACCCCAGCTGCCTTTTGCCTCGTAAGCCACTTTTTCCATCTTTCTGGGTGTCATCGAACTCTGCCCCTGGTCTTACTATCTTCTTTTGCCTTCTGGACTGGCCTGTTCCATCCGCCCCGGACTATATGACAAACAGACAGCTTGAAGTGGGTTCCCAGGGAGTCTGGGTTACTACTACCATCCCTATCAGAGGGGACAGCTTTTGAACTTCTCCATAGCACATTCCATCTGGCCTGACATCGTGAGAGGATGTCTGGGAGGAACATCCCCTAGATTTATCGGAATGGCATGGGACTCCTCCCACTGTCGTGAGAGGACAGTGGAGTCGTTACCCACGTTTTTGTTGCTGCCTTTTGTCCTCAGGACCTTTAGACTTTATGGAACCCTGGCCAGACGCCATTTTCACCCTTTCCCATTTTGTGGATGTATTCAACCATTGAGCTTCTTGCGCTGCGAGACTCCCCCCTCTCGCAGGTTTGGCCCTCCACATTATCGAGGGCCTACCTCAATGACGGGCTTTGGAACCCAGAGAGGTGGCATGCCGCGAAGAGGGGGTTGAGGGGTTTTTAAGTAAATTGGGTAAATTTTTAAGGGGTCCCGGGGGGGGAGGGAAAAATTGGAACTAGGGTTGTGGGTTTGGGGGAAGACCCACCAAGGGGAGGGTCAGGCCTGGCCACTATGCACGGCGGAGGGGATGGGGGATCCGGAGGTGATGGGGGGGGTCGAGCTTGTCCAGATTGTGCTTCTATCATCGGTACTGTGAGTGGGAGGGGTAGATATGGCGGGAGTAGGGGGCCATATCATGTTAAGGGAGCGCGCACCCGCTGTCTTCGAGCGGTAGCGTGCTCCGGCCCCCAAGGCTCCACCCGTTCTCCAGGTTGTACGGACCCTCAGAGCCCGGGCCTTCGACTGATGTTGTGCAACGCCAGGTCCGTAATACATAAAGCCCCCCTCATTTGTGATCTGGTTCAGGAGGGGGGAGCGGACCTGGCGGGTATTACGGAGACCTGGTTGGGCCCGGAGGGAGGGGTCCCTCTGGTAGAAATGTGCCCACCAGGCTTCCTGGCATTCCATCAGCCGAGGTCACAGGGGAGGGGCGGGGGAGTAGTGGTTACTATTAGAGAAGGCCTTAGGCCGAGGGAGACCACTGTTCCTCAGACGGCCGGTTGTGAGACCCTCCTTGTGAAGTGGGGTCATGGGGTTCAGAGGGGTTTGCTGATCACGTACCTGGCTCCCTGCCACGTGGCAGCAGCCCTGCCCGAGCTACTCAACGTTATCGCCGCGGTGGCGGTTGATACCCCCAGACTAATGGTCATGGGGGATTTCAACCTGCCGTCCGTGGGTGAGATGTCTGAGGTGGCTCGGGAGTTCATGGCTTCCATGACGGCTATGGATCTGACCCAACTAATTCATGGCCCTACGCACATGGGGGGAAACACACTGGACCTGATTTTTGTCTCTGGACAGTGGCTGAGTGATCTCGAGATAGGGGACATAGTCATCGAGCCCTTGTCATGGTCAGATCACTCTCTCCTTCGCCTTGACCTTCGAACCGCTGCACCCCGCCGCAGGGAGGCGGAACCGATGAGATGGTACCGCCCCAGGCGCCTGATGGAACCTGATAGGTTCCAGACGGAGCTTGGGCCAATTCCTGAGGTTCTGGCTCATGCCTCGACTGGAGACCTAGTGGCCGCCTGGGATAGGGCGGCCGCTGGAGCTCTGGACCGAGTCGTGCCTTTGCGGCCTCTGACCGGCGTCGATCTCACCTGGCTCCTTGGTTTACTGAGGAGCTGAGGGAGATGAAGCGCCGGAAAAGACGCCTAGAGATTAGTTGGAGGGCCAGTCGTACTGAATCTGACCGGACACTGGTAAGATCTCATATTAAGAATTACCTAGTGGCAATAAAAGCAGCAAAATGCACTTATCTTGCTGCTCTTATTGCGTCATCAGATAACCACCCGGCCGCCCTGTTTAGGGTGACCCGCTCCCTGCTCCACCAGGAAGCGAGGGAGGACCCCTTGGAGGGAAGAGCCGAGGATTTTGTTCAGTATCTGTATGACAAAATCACTCAGATTCGGGAAGATCTGGACTCTGACTGGGTAGATCCAGCGGGGATGACGGGGGCAGGTCCTGAGAATGTTATCTGGGATGAGTTTGATTCTGTGACCCCTGAGGACGTGGACAGGATTCTGGGTAGACTGAATGCGACCACATGTTTGTTGGACCCGTGCCCCTCCTGGTTAGTGCTGGCTTCCCGGGAGGTGACGCGAGGCTGGCTCCAGGGGATTATAAATGCTTCATTGGGTGAGGGTGTCTTTCCCGCCGCCTTGAAAGAGGTGGTGGTGAGACCTCTCCTCAAGAAGCCTTCCCTGGACCCGGCAACATTGGCTAACTATCGTCCAGTCTCCAACCTTCGCTTTGTGGCGAAGGTTGTTGAGAGTGTGGTTGCCCGACAGCTTCCCCGGTACCTGGATGAAACGACGTATCTAGATCCGTTCCAGTCGGGTTTCAGGCCTGGGTACAGCACGGAAACGGCATTGGTCGCGTTGGTGGATGATCTCTGGAGGGCTCGGGACAGAGGTTGTTCCTCTGTCCTGGTCCTATTAGATCTCTCAGCGGCTTTTGATACCATCGACCATGGTATCATGCTGCACCGGTTGGAAGTGTTGGGGGTGGGAGGCACCGTATTACGGTGGTTCTCCTCCTTTCTCTCCGACCGGTCGCAGTCTGTGTTGACAGGGGGGCAGAGGTCGACCCCGAGGCCCCTTATATGTGGGGTGCCACAAGGATCGGTCCTCTCGCCCCTTCTGTTCAACATTTATGTGAAGCTGCTGGGTGAGATCATCCGTGGTTTCGGGGTGGAGTACCATCAGTACGCTGATGACACCCAGCTGTACATCTCCACCCCAGACCACCCCAACGATGCCCTTGAAGTGATGTCCCGGTGCCTGGAGGCCGTGCGGATCTGGATGGGGAGGAACAGGCTCAGGCTCAACCCATCCAAGACCGAGTGGCTGTGGTTTCCGACGTCCTGATATAGTCAGCTGGTGCCATCACTGACTATTGGGGGTGAAGCATTAGCCCCCACGGAGAGGGTTCGCAACTTGGGTGTCCTCCTGGATTCACGGCTGTCTTTAGAAGAGCACTTGACGGCCGTGACCGGGAGGATTTTTCATCAGGTTCACCTGATTCGCCAGTTGCGTCCCTTTCTGGATCGGGACTCGTTACGCACGGTCACTCATGCCCTCGTCACCTCCCGTCTGGACTATTGTAACGCTCTCTACATGGGGCTCCCCTTGAGGAGCACTCGGAGGCTCCAACTGGCGCAGAGTGCGGCCGCGCGGGTGGTGATGGGAGCAACGTGGTGCTCCCATGTAACGCCTCTCCTGCGCGAGCTGCACTGGCTCCCGGTGGTCTTCCGAGTGCGCTTCAAGGTCTTGGTTATCACCTTCAAAGCGCTCCATGGCTTAGGACCTGGCTATTTACGGGACCGCCTGCTGCCACCAATAGCCTCCCACCGACCAGTACGCTCCCATAGAGAGGGGCTCCTCCGGGTGCCGTCGGCCAAACAATGTCGACTGGCGGCCCCCAGGGGGAGAGCCTTCTCTGTGGGGGCACCTACGATCTGGAACGAGCTCCCCCCGGAGATACGGAGGATTCCGGATCTGCGTACCTTCCGTCGCGCACTTAAGACGTTTTTATTCCATCAAGCTGGCCTGACCTAAACTTTTCCTCTTTTAAATGGAATTTTAAATTTGGTTTTAATTTATTGGGGTTTTAAAATGTCTCAGCCAAATTTATTTAATTAGTTTTATCTCTATTTTAAATTTTGTATTTACATGTTTTATTTTATGGCTGTTCACCGCCCTGAGTCCTTCGGGAGTAGGGCGGTATACAAATTTAATAATAAAAAAATAAAATAAAAAAAAATTTATTCGACTGCCCATCTCACCAGAATTGTCAAGTGACAATGCTATTTTATTTATTTATTTACTATACTGATATTCTTCCTTACGTTCAGTAGGGCATATATAGCTCTCCCTCCTGCCCCCCCCTTTTTTCCCTATAGTAACAATCTATAGCAGGTATAGTAGTAACAAAATAGTAGGTTGGACTGAGAGAGAATGACCAGCCAAAGTCATCAAGTGAACTGCCATGGCAGCTAAGGATAGATCTAGTCACTATACTATATTGGCTGTCCATGTTCATAGGCTATGCATTTGTTTATATCAAATGCTGAGACAAATATAGGAAGGCTTACATTTGCATGTCTTATTTCTGAACTTCTAAAGGCATCTGCTGGCTGTAAACTGTTTGATGGTCTTTGATCTGATTTTGCAAATCTGTTTTTATTTGCCTTGCAATTAAAGGAAAAAAGGGCATACCATCTGGATATAAATGATCCAACTGAAGGCATTCATATGGATCCACCCGGAAACAGTAATGCATTTGATTGAAAAATATCTGCTCTTTCCCCTCCATCTACAGATTCCCAGGAAAATCAAACCATAAATGCTTTATAGAAAACCAAAGTACAATATGGATGGACAGATTAAGTTTATAACGATGTTTACCAAAGTGGTGTTTTCAGACATACTGTATTACAACTTCCATAATGGCCACTATGGACAAATATTTTGAGAGTTGTACTCTCTGTCTGGTAGACATCATGTTTGAATTAGAAGATTAGAAAAGAATAATCCTGTCTAAGGGTATCACCTTATTTAGTTCTGTCTGGAAATCAATTTCCAGGGTTTGCAGTGTGCGATTCAGCTCACAGATTTCTTTCTGGGTGTTTTGTAGTTCTTCCTGGTTGTTTTGCCCCTCTAAAGATTCATTTCCGATCTGTGTGAACATAAAAAAAAGTAAATGAAGGAATTATTTAAACCTAGCCAAAAATAGAATTCTGCACACAGTTTTATAGCAAGACACTGAGTGTATAATTTCTATGCTATGAGTGATGGCAGCACTCCTATTGAGAAACTCCATCACAGGAGTTCTTTTTTTTTTTTTTATACACTTTATTGGTTTTTTTTTTACACAAATAAAATATAATAACAATTCTGTTTGACATCGGATTCGCAGTGTTTATACATATTTACCTGAAAGAATATCTGGTTTCATTTATATTATACATTTCTAATTAATTTCTGTACCTTTCACTCCTTCCTTAATTCTATCATTTATCCATTCGTACCATCTTCCCCACACCGTATCATAATCTGAATTTTCATCATCATTTATCTCGTGTGTTAATTTACTTATCTCTGCACACTCTAGTATTTTGTTGATTATAAGGTCGTCTGGTGGTGGGTCTTTCTTTTTCCAGTATTGAGCGTACGCCAGTCTGGCAGCTGTAGTTATGTGTATTAGGAGGTGGACCTTTTCCTTTCCATACCCTTTCTTTACCATTCCCAGGAGAAATATTTCTGGAATCAAATCGATTTCTTCTTTAATTATGTCTTTCAACCATCTCCGAATTTTGCTCCAGTATCTTTTTGCTTCGGGGCATGTCCACCACATATGAAAGAAGGTGCCCTGACCATGGCCACATTTCCAACAATTTGGGTGCACATTGGGGAACATCTTTGCTAATCTTGCGGGTGCTAAATGCCACCTATGGAGCATTTTATAATGATTTTCTTTGTATGTGGCTGCTCTAGTTAATTTATAGTTTTTATTCCAGGCCTCTTCCCATTCATTAAAATTCAAACTGTGCCCAATGTTACTCACCCATGCTCTCAATTGGTTTCTGATTGTAACCTCATCTCTGTCTTCATCTAATAAGTAATTATATAGCTTGGCCAACGCTTTTTTCCCTGGTCCCATCAAAATTTTGTCTAATCCGTTGTTTCCTAATTCTAAGCCATACTCATCCTTATCTTTCTGGTATCTTGATTTTATTTGCAGGTAAGTCCACCAATCTAAGGTTATACCTTGGTCTCTCAAGGTATCATTTGATTTAAGGTTTCCCCCTCCGTCGACGATATCTTTGAATCTACACAGTTTCTCCATTCCCCACCTGTTGGGGTAAATCAATGCCTCTGCCATAGAGAGCCAATTTGGGACTTTTGAGTAATATCTCTGCCTAATCCCCGCCCACGTTTGTATTAGGGAGTCCCTGATTTTATGCCTATGAAAGTAGGTTTTCTTTTTCTTGTCTTTGTCCCATAGATACGCATGCCACCCTCTCTGTAGGTCATGGCCTTCTAGTGTTAGGATTCTCTTGTTCTCCAAAGTGATCCATTCTCTTATCCATATCAGTTTTGCTGCTCTGTAATACGTTTCCCAATTCGGGAGTCCAAATCCTCCCACATTCCTTTTTTCCTGTAAGATTTTGAGTGAAATCCTCGATTTTTTCCCCTCCCAAACAAATTCCCTAATATTCTTATTTAATTCTAAAAAAAATTTTTTCTCTAAGATCACTGGTAAATTTTGGTACAGAAATAGAATCTTGGGGAGGATGTTCATCTTAATTGCCGCAATTTTGCCTATAAGTGACAATTTAATCCTTTTCCATCTATCCAAATCTTGTTTTAATTTATTAATTAATGGGGTATAGTTATCTTCTTTTAGAGATGAATACCTTTTGGTTAGCCAGATTCATCACAGGAGTTCTTACAAGATGTCTTCTTTTAAATGAAAATGTGAGAATTCAGAGAGTTGCCAACTGCCACAGAAATGGTTTGTACAGCTCTGGGAATAATTTTAGTGGTATACATATTCCATCCATGAGAAATTTGCCTCAAATCTTTTTTTTAATAAATCTTGAAAACAAGATGTCTTTCAACAATCTCAAGAAGAACTTAGTAGTTAAAAGGCAGAATAATTTCTCAGTAATATAATAGTCTTTACGCAATATACACATGGAATATATGAAAATTGGACATCGGCATATTGATACTTGCTAGTGTTAGGATATAGAGGAAGCATTAAATGTTAGGAAGATCAGATGTCATGTGAGAAGGCTTTCTTTTAGATCAAGAAGTGGTGTTTCTTAATTCTACATATATTATCAGACATCTTGTTTGTACATTTCAAATGGGTGTGAAACCTTTGTTCCTTGAGACCACTCCTCTTGTAGAGAACTACAGTATCAAAGTTATAATCCTACATAATTTCTCCATCTTGTTTTCTGAAAGGATACCTGTTGTTGGAACCAAGAATCAAGACTTTGGCGGTTTTTTTCAATTATAGCTTCATAATCCGCTCTTATCCCTGCCAGGATCTTGGACAAATCTTCTTGTGGAGTTTTGTTCACCTTCACATTCACTTTAAAGTCTTTGGATGCGCCATGTGCCTGCATATTCTGTGTATGAAAAAATGAAGAAAAACCTCAGCAAAACCTTTTCAAAATATGTATAATAAAAGTATTCTGCTATCTGAGGCAAACAGCAAATAATGGAGGGAGACAACTGGAGGGAGGCTTCAAACATTGCATATTTATAAAAAGATTTTGTGATATCAGAAGTTTATTTTTTCCAACTCTTAACGGAAGATGCTTCTTTTTCTCACATCTGCTATATCCTAGATTTGCATTGTGATCTATCCTACCTCCATTCTTTTCTGATTGGTGCATTTAACCTCACCAGGATTCCTTCTTTTGTAATTGTCACTCTAATTATTTGTGTTCATGTACTCTGGAGTAAGGTTTCCCACACTGTGAGCTGTATCTCTCTTCTGGAGGTGCAACAGAGTCCAGAGGATGTACAAAGAATATAGATAGTCCACTTACGATCAGTCACTTAGTAACCATCTGAAGTTACAACAGACCTCCCCACAACTTATGCCTCAGATTCAAAGTTGCAATGGCTGCCTCCTCTGCAGTCACATGATTACAGTACTTGCAACTTGCCCACATTTATGGGCATTGCGGTGTCCTCTGGTCACATGACTGTGATTTACAATATCTTTTTGCCAGAAACCAGTGCTTACTTCTGGTTTCTGACAAAAAAACAACAACAACCTATTGCAGACAATAGATTTGCTTTACAACTGCCACATTTGCTTTTCAAATATCTGCATTCACTTTATGACCATACATTCACTTTACAATCACATTTGCTTTATGAATGCCATGTTCACTTCACCATCATAAGAAAGGTCATAAAATCAGGCGCATGATGCTCCATTTAACAACAGAATGACTTACGACTGTAACTCCGGGCTAACTTATGATGAAAAGTCTAGGGCTACCTCTATTTTAGTTGTACATTTCTATAATAAATCCACCTTTTCCAAAATTGTTTATCTGTTCATTTTAGTTTTGGATTTTAGGGGAGATGTATACATTTGAGATTATACTAAAGGGAGTGTGAGGGCAAAAACTTTAAGAACTTAAAACGCAACCCTGGTAACTGTCTTAATTAAAAAGATAGAAATATGCTTTGTGCCAATCTTAACACACAGTTTCTTTTTAAGGTCAAATAATATTTTTCCTTTAGAGAAAAATATATAGTTGCAGGCATGCTCCAGGTTATATTGGCATGATAAACAGTTTATTGGTGGAAACTTGGAAGATCTCAAGGATATGGCATGCTTGCCTCTTCCAGTTTGTCTTGCTGATTTATATTCTGCCAGAGATTAATCAATTTCAGGGTCTGAAATGTTGTAACAATACTGTGGTTTAACTGAAACTTGTTCCTTAGAGGGGCCTAAGTAAGTATATTATAATGACCTGCTTCTTTATGAATACTGGAGCACCGTACTCAATGATACAAGAAAAGCCTGTGTAAACTCTAGAAATTCTTGCGGGTTTCTATTGTCAGGAATTTTGGTATTGTAATTCTGGTGTTCTAAGAAGGCACCAACTTGGAGAAGGTTGCACTACTTCAAACATCAATTAATAGGAAGCGTTTCTCCAACTTTATTTCTCTTTCTATGGTTTTTCCAAAGTTTTAAGATGAATCTTATCTGCAATCCATAATATGAATTAAGAGGAAGACCAATGCGAAATTTTCTTTCAAAATTAGAATGTTGAGATTATATGACTCAATGATCTACTGTCTGTGTTAGCCATTACCACCTGCTTCCTGGAATACACTGTCCCATCTCAGTAAAACACAAAGGCTTCCCAAGGAGCGAATAAGGTACAATTAATAAAATTAAGCATGGAAAACTTTCTTTTATAGGCTGGCAAATAAACAGTGAGGATGACAGTAAAGAGACAGATGATTTTTGAGCCAGGGTGGTTCAGCATAAACTCACAGCTATGTCTCTGGATTATACTTCTGCCTATTAAAAAGTAATTAAGTAAATCCAGGATATTAGCCTGGAGAAAGATCACTACACACTATTCCAGATCTCTAGCTGGTTAAACAGGATTCTGATCTTCATTTAAAAGTGACACAAGACTTATATATATGTGTGTGTGTGTGTGTGTGTGTGTGTGTATGTGTGTATATCTATCTATCTATCTATCTATCTATCTATCTATCTATCTATCTATCTATCTCTGTCTGTATATCTATCTATCTATCTATCTATCTATCTATCTATCTATCTATCTATCTATCTCCAGGGTTTTTCCTACGTAAATCAAGATGTTTATATTGCCATAGTTGGGTGACATCTCAAATCACCACTTTCCAGGCTTTATCAGACATTTTGTGTTGTCTGCTGTTGTCTCCCTTAAGTCTCACAGCAGACAACACAAAATGTCTGATAAAGCCTGGAAAGTGGTGATTTGAGATGTCACCCAACTATGGCAATACAAATATCTTGATTTACGTAGGAAAAACCCTGGCTAGAACAATAATGCACAGTATACCATACTAGACAAGGTCCAAAGTGTAGACCGTGCAGAGAGATCTCAGAGGCAGTCCAACATGTAGTGGTGGTATAAGATATAGACAAGAATGGGATACACTTGACAATGTATGGGTTAGACCATCCCAAGTCCAGATGGGAGTTTCTACAGAAGGCTGTGGAGGATAACAGGGCTAAGATCCTGTGAGATTTTCAAGTCCAGATGGATAGGCTGGTACTGGCCAATCAAGTAGACACTGTGGTAGTAGACAAGGACCAGAAGATAGCAATGTTGATAGATGTAGCAATGCCAAGTGACAGCAACACTAGGAAGAAGTACAAGCATTGTAGCATTGTGATTAACACCAGCTATCTGCAATTACTGTAAGTTCGAATCTCACCAGGCTCAAGGTTGACTCAGCCTTCCATCCTTTCTAAGATAGGTAAATTGAGGACCCAGTTTGTGGGGGCAATAAGCTGACTTTGTATAAATATACAAAAGTATGAAGGCTATTGCTTAACGCATTGTAAGCCGCCCTGAGTCTCCGGAGAAGGGCGGCATATAAATCAAATTAAATTAAAAAAAAGAAGCTGGAGAAATACCAAAGCCTGAAGAAAGAATAGAGAGGATATAAAGGGGTAGGAGACCAAGTGGTGGTAGGAGCACTTGCGGCTGTGATTCCTAAACTGGGAGAGTGACTCCAACAGATCCCAAGAATAACAGCAGGACTCTATCCAGAAAAGTGCAATGCTATGAACAACTAAGATACTACACAGAAATCTCAAACTCCCGGATCTCTGATAGATGACCTGAGACTGAGGAAGACACAGATGTCTTTTAAGTTGACCAGTTGACTAGATTTAGCTTGAGAAGAAAGAAATGGACTCAGGCTTAACTAAGGATGGAAATGTTTCCTTCCATATTCCCTAATACCCCCTCATTGAGATAAGGAAATCAGTTTTAAACCATCTCTATTTTGATTAATTATTTTGCAAAAGATATTTAAATGCAACTTGCTTAGCCTTTTATAGCTTCAGACTTGTTGTTCTTATGTGTGTGAGTAGAATGTTTGCTGCTTGTTTTTAGAGATATTTAGAGAGTTAGCTAAATATTTAGACTGAATTTGGCTCATATCAAGTCCTTCCCAAGGTGATGTTTGATAGTGTTAAAGATATTGTTGCAGGATATAAGTTGTTTCAAGCAAAATTACCTTTTGCAATGGATGATGATTTTATCAATACATATCAGTGGTGGGTTGCCCCCGGTTCGGACCAGTTCTATAGAACCGGTAGTAAAACTGGCAGGAGGCTCTGCCCACCGACCCCGACATCATTTAGGAAGCTTCTGCGCATGCGCACAAGTGCGCGCAACCCCATTGTGAACCGGTAGTAAAGGAAAGTAGAACCCACTCCTGGTACATATGGTATTCAAATGGTGTTCCAGATGCTTTGGGATTGCACCAAAGCATATTGGTACCCGAGCACTTTATCTTCTTTATTTTCTATTACTTTGTCTATTTTGTGGTCCAACTCTTTCTTGCTTGCAGGCAAATGGTATTTCTTGCAGACCTTCCAATGCATCATTGTTGCTACTTTTTCATACTGTTATTTGTAATCAATCTGTACAGTCTACTTGCAGAATTAGCTAGGTGGTCCACTATTTTCTTCAACATCTTTGCAGAGATGGCATTTGCTTTCTGTTACTGTCTTCTCAATTCTGGTTTTGTATGAATTTAATTCTTAAGTTTAATCTTCTGCAGCCAGAATTTGCCCCTCTGTCTCTTTCTTCAACTTACTGCTCTTAGTCTTATTATTTGCTTGCCCTGCTATTTTTTTTAATGTATTAGACGTGTACATGCCCTCATAATACTTTGCCTCATCATGTCTCTTTTTATTCTTCATTTGGTCTTTCTTGTAGGCCATTTTGGCTCTCCAGCGCTCAGTAAGCCTTTATGGTGTACTAGTTTCAGTGTACCTTCTTCATTGTCCTTCAGTTAGTCTTCAATGCTCTTTTTTCTTACTCAACTGTCTGATCTACTTGCAACATTCCATGCCCATCTATGCTCCTTGGTAAATTGAGTCTATCAATGTTGCTGCATAGGTGAAAGATATGATTCATTATTTTACTGGTTTTCCTATTTAGGGTTTTAGTTCGGTTTGAGTCCAGTTCACTATTCCAGCTGTGTATTAATGACTGGAATTGCCCAGATATTAATTGCCTTGATGACATTCCTCCACTGAATTTGGACTTCAAGGCCTTCACTCTCATGATATATTCACTTCTAACATTCTCTTAACTTCAGTGTGCTTAATGTTCCCAGCTTGAAGGATTCCCATGTATTTGTAATGATTGTGATCATTGAGACTCTTGATCATTTCCATAGGGCATCTTGATTTCTTCTATTTCACTATTTTCCCATTAATAGTGAAGGTGACACATTCCAGTCCAAATTCCATTGCAATATCTTAGCAGTATATATGGACAGTGTTGAGCAGTAATTCTATTTTGGATAGTGTTTTTCCATAAAGTTTCAGATCATTAATATAAAGTAGATGGAATAGCCTATAGGATGTTTTTGATAGCCATTACCTGATTTATTCAATATTGTTGATAGAGTAATCTGTGCGATGACAACAGTATTAGTGAGAATGAAGGTTTGAGCAGATTTCTTTAGCACTGCACATGAGGGAATGTATACGTCTGCCATTCGGGGATCATTGCATAGGTGGTTTTTTTATATGTCAGCAAATTTTAATGTTCTGGCTAGAGGGTCCTCAAACAGCAAAGCACAGAAGTCTGATCAACAATCAGCACACAGCACACACCTTTGCACACCTTTACACAATGGGAGTTGAGAGGTGTGGGCATTGGCCCATCTGTAAGCATATGCAAATTCTGTTTACCCATCAACCCCTTTGCAGCATAGGTATGTGGCAACAGCTATGGGCAATTGTAGGCAACTCTAAATGAGCCTTGAAAGATTCTTTTCTTGATATTAACCTCTCCCAATGTATTCATCATTAACCAGCAACTCTGTCTTCTATTGTGGCATTGATCTTTGCACAAACCTTTTGATGTTTTACACTAACTTGTTATTTCTAGGCACCTGATTATGCATGTTGCGACAGAGTCAAATGTCTTCTTGTAATCAATTCAACCTACATTCAAGTTGGTCTTCTTCTTCTCCTTCTCCTTCTCCTTCTCCTTCTCCTTCTCCTTCTTCTTTTTCTTCTCCTCCTCCTCCTCCTTCTCCTTCTCCTTCTTCTCCTCCTCCTCCTTCTCCTTCTCCTCCTCCTCCTCCTCCTCCTCCTCTTCCTTCTCCTCCTACTCCTACTCCTACTCCTACTCCTTTTTGCAGTTTTCCATAATCATTTTGTCAACTAGGTCCTGTTAGAGTAGTGATGATCACATCTTCATCTGGCAAACATGCACCACTTAGTTGATTAGAATGTAAAGGCATTCTAAAGACACATAAATTCTAAAGTTGAGGACTGTTATATATATATGGTAGTTTTGAGTACTAGACTCTGTAGTAATTGTTTACCTTTATTATTAAAGCCTTTTCTAGCATCTGTAATGAAAAGACAGTGACTCTTTGTAAGCAAGACTCTTCTTTCTAGTTAAAGTATGGGTTTGAAGTCTGATTCACATACCTCTACAGCAATGTTTCCCAATCTCAGCAGTTTTAAAATGCCTGCTCTTCAAATCCTAGAATTCCTCAGTTAGTCATCCTTGGAGGAGATTATTGAAACTAATCAGGTCTAAATTAGGGATAATTTAGCTGTCCTGTTAATTTTATGGATCTATTCTACACAACCTAAATTTGGATCTGAGTCAGGCTGTTTGTTTTCAAGGGTGAGGTTTCAAAAATGTCAGACAAAAAATTGAAGAGAAGGGATGACATGAAGGTATGTGATTTGGCACACAAAGAGACATTAACTGGAGATGCCTTGATGGTTAGGATGACGCACATACCAATTACATGCAGAGTCACTGTGCCAGGCTTTGTACAAGCAAGGCAAGTGGATGAGAAGATCTGAAACAGAGAGAGCGTAGGATGCAAGAGTATACTTCTTTCTGCTGGATGTATTTCAGTTTGTGAAAGGAATACTAGGGTTGGCCAAGAAGTATGTTGTGTTAATTACTTGATGCACAGTTAAGTCAGCTTTTGGAAGTCCTGAATACTTATTGAAATAGAATTTTAATATTCTTTTTTGGGAGAAGGAAGACTTCCTCTTCTCAATTTGAAAGTATTCCTTCTATTTAGATCGCCCATTTTACAAAAAATCTATATTTCTATCCAGAAAATGTAAAGGTTCTATATAATTACTAAAGGAGCAGCTGGATGAAAACACCTAATTACTATGTAAACAATCTAATTATGAGGCATGCTAAACTGGTTTGGTGAAGTTCTCAGCATTGCAGTATCTCCTCAACTGCTGCCTCAGGAAATGAAGCTGTAATCAGTGAGTTTTCAGAATGCCCTCAAATTCAGAGGCACTGTCATAATGAGAGGAACTAACTACAATCTTTTAAAAATATTTCTGAAGCACTAAATAGCATCAGCTCTTGCAACACTATCTCTTACTTCTTTTCTGATTTTCATGGTGCTCCCTATTGGAAGTTAGTTGTGGGATTTAGCGTTAGAGTTTCAATGGGGCAACTGATGTATTTCATCTATGGTGGTTTATATCAGAAACTGTTCCATTTGGAAGAAATAGTTCCTCCCTACCCAGTAAAGAGGCATGGACATTAATTTTAAAAGTCTGGCATTTAGATGAGGACTTTGTAATAGTATGAGTTAGCTGCAGTACATTTTTGAAATATGCAGCAATGATCTCTTGAGAATGAAAGCGCCAACAGCACTGTGTACATATGTGATCTGAGCTTTAGTGGGTTATCATTTGCAAGTTAAAAGGAAATTAAATGCAGTAATACATTTAAACAGCAACCAGTATGTGTAAAACAGCACCCTCCTTACTCCCAAATTCTGTGTGGTTTAGGGAAAATGGATAGGGATAAGTTTGTCTTTGCTCTGTCATATTTTAAATGTTTTTCTGTCAACAAATATCCCATGGAAGTGATCAGTGGAAGATTATCGACCAACAAAAGGAAGTCATTCTCATAATAGCCGATTCTGCTATGGAATTCTCTGCACCAATATCCCGTGGTGGCTGATAACAAGTTTAAGTTTAAAAGGAGGTTAGACAAACCCTTAATGAGTTCAGATTATTTCTGATCTTGGGGACATTTGCTGAGGAACCTAAACAGAAAAGCGCTTTAGATTTGTGTCTCTTTGGCTAGTGTGGGAAAGAAAAGGTTGAGTGAGATGGGCCTTTGGCATGATTCATCAAGGCTTTTAGCCTATACAAACTACAGGAATGCTGCGCTGGCTTATATAAGCACAATGAAAATTCAGAGTGTTGGGATTGGCAGGATTTAAATATATTAATCAGTTGTCTGCTCAGATGTGGTTAGAGTTACAAAACTAAGTGGTTCTAATCCTTGCTGTTTTAAGTAAACACTTTATTTCATTGGCAACCTATATATATTTAGATCTATAAGAAGTCCCAAAACTGCAGTGATGTTTTTTGGACTTGAGAGACAAAATTCATAAAACAGAAACTATATTGAATCATAACCTTCTGTCCTCAAAACAACTTACATTAGTATCCTCTGATGCACTTCACTAGATTTATTCAACATTTATTATTCTAACTTTATAATTAAAATAAGCATGAACTGTCAAAATTGGTTTCTATACAGAAAATAAGAGGGTCAGGATTTGGGTAAGGTGCGTACATGGCTCGGAGAAAGAGAAGAAGCTTGTCTTACCGCCTCATGTTCTTTTTTTTTGAGTATGTGATCTTCACGCAAAGCTTCAATTTCCATTTCCAGGTCAGTTATTATGATCGTCATGTTGTCTAGCTCCTTACGGATGTTTTCAACATCATTTTGCACATTTTGCCGGAGAGCTCTTTCAGCTTCGTATCTTAATCAAAGAGAAAAGTAATATAGTTGAATGAAGGATTTTGGGTTTGAATCTACAACTTTTAGAATCATAGCTTGCTAATGATTACTGTTTCTGTTTCCGAAGCATGTACCTTCCACCATTTAAAAATATATTGACATTTATATTTCACTGAATTTCAATTAATAATTTTCATTTATTGAAAAGCACACTTATGGAGAAGCTTGCTAATCACATTAGAATGCTCTGCTGTTTTTCAGAAAGCAACAGTTAGTCCCAAAGGATCACTTTCTAATTTGAAATGCAAATTTAATAGACAAATTGATGAATAAAGTGGGGTGAGAAGGTTGCCTGTATTATTGTTTTATTTTGAACATTAGAAGAATCATGATTTCAAAAGTATTGTAAGAGTTGCTTTCCAGACTGATAAGGATACAGGAGACTGTTATATAAATACTTTCTCTCTTATCGGTATAGCCTCCTTCCAGATCTCAGGAAGGCCGATAGAAAGAAAATGAGAATTACTCCATCTTCACATACATGATGATATATTGGTTCTAAATTGAAAATAGTTCAGTTATTGGAATTCTTGTAACCCCACCTCTTTTTATCTCAACAGATCTTTGAGAAATTCAGAACTATACTTAGAAAAAAAATCACTTTCCATTGTAGGTAGCTGCCAAGGAGCCTGACAGGTATTGTGTGTCATGCTATTATAAACTTCCATTCATATAGAACGTGAAGTACACTTCTCATGACAGATTAATATTATACACTGCAGCAGTTTGATATACTGGAAAACACTGCCAGTCAAAATAGATTAGCCTTTGATAGTTCTTCAAATGTTTAATATTTGTCATTCAAATAAATTGGGAATTATGGAAATTATGGCAATAGAGTACAACACAACAGGACTACATAAGGTAGAGAAAGGTTAGTCCATGCAGTGCTGAACTAGAGGAGTCAATGTCTGAGTGAGCATAAGACATAATTTTGTGTTCCTGTAGTTTGATCTGGGCAGATCATCACAGTGTTACCTTGTACAACTTTCATTGCACTGAAATTAACTAAATTGTATTAGGGTTAACTATTTGCACACTGAAATTAGCTTGAGGAAAATGCAAGATAATTTTTTGATAAATCCATTAAAGAAGCTGGTTGAAGAAATTGATGATGTTCTAGGCACAGGATTTTACTCAAAATATGGGTCTAGAAGAATGCATGTAATCCATGACACATTTTGTATTAAAAGCAAAAGTTGGCTGAACACCCAGACAAATTTTATTAAATTGTTTAGTGGCACAACAAATTAAATTCTTAGGAGATGATGGGTTTTTCTAAATAGAGAGCAGGGTTGGAGGTTTCATTTCTCAAAGATGTAACAATAACCTGAATTTCAGAACCTTCATGGACAGGTAATTGGACTAGATAACTCCAAACGTTCCTCCAAATTTATGACTATATTATGTAGCCTATTTATTTGATTACTGGCCTCACATTGTACATTTAATCATACATTAACCAAAAGGGCTGTACTTGTATATCAGGCCAAGCCAGAAAAAAAGAGGACAAAACAGAAACAAAAAGAAAAGGAATGGCATGTTGTGCAATTGTAAGCATAATGTTTTTAATTGACTTGTCTAAGCATATTGTGTAAACCTAACCTATGGTTGTATGATTCTCAAATATATCATCTTAATACTGTCAACATGGTTGTAATGATGTTTCACCTTAAACAAGCAGTCATTAACTTGTTTTAAGAGAAGAGGAAATGAGAAAAGCAGGCAATTTGTGTTGCCTATATAATTCCTGACATCTCCTCTGGCATCTCCCCTGGCATCTCCCCTGGCATCCAGAAGAGGCAGCACAATAGTTCAAAACATCCATCTTCATCACCCATAAACCCACCTGCTAGTGAGTAAGAGGCAAAGAGAGAAGCAATTATGGTACCTCTCAACCCAAGATTTTGTTCCAGAGCAGCATAGTTGCTGGCTAACTATGGCTTTTATCTCTTGGAATGTAATATCCAACAACAGATGGTATACTGTCCACTGTGATTTTAATCAAATTCAATCTCTTGAAGCATAATCTTTTTAGTCATATTTGGATTATTAAGAATCAGAGTCAAGTTTTACATTTTTGTCTGCATCTGCTTCCAAGAATAGACGAGAAGCTCAAGGAAAGACTTACTTGAGCCTGAAATCCTCTGTTGCCATTTTGGCATTGTCAATCTGTAGAACAAGGCCTGCATTGGTAACCCGTCCAGTCTCAATCTGTAAATAACAAAATATTAATCTCACTGTGGAGGTAGACTAAAAGTTTCATGATTTGGTGTTATGGTAGGCTAAGAGAGCTATATTTTCTTTTTCATCTCTGGAATGCATTTGTGGGGTAATTTAGTCACTGAATTAGCCCAGTCCTTGATTTTGCAAATACACTGAACCAAAACGTAACCAAACCAACTGGATGTGCCAAATACGGCTAGCCATAAAATAAACATGCTAAAATTAATTAAACTGTACATTGTGCCAATGTAGTCACTGGGTTTTTAGTTGATTTGATTGTGCACTGCTTGATATAACCATATCAATGTTAGTATTTTCTCATTTTTCTAATTTTAAAAAAATGAAAGAAAATTGAGAAAATATTTCTTACTTAGAATTTGAAACTCAAAATGCAAAGTTGGGATGTATTAGCTTTTCAGCACCTCTTGTTTTGCTTTTGGTTGGCTTCAGATGTGAATGTTCTTCTTCCAGCTGTCAAATATTCATTATAATTGCAAGGTAAACATGTTAATTACAATTGCATAATATTATATTCCACTATAAGTACAGATGAAAGAAAGCTTGCAAGCAACTGCTAATGTTTGGTTGTGATTGGAATGTGATGAACATTAAGACGTTAAGAATGTTCATGTTTTATGAATATTACTCCCTAAAAGATATTTTTATTCATTACCAACTTTTCCAGCATGTGATTCACGTATGCTTTTCAGTAATCTATTTTTCCACTGAAGAGCTTTGTCACAAAATTCAGTAAAGCACAAATAGTGAAGCATAACTACACAGATTCCAATAATTGATTGTAATAGGGTTGCAATATTTCAAATATAGTTCACATTTGTGTACTGATTTGTGAAACATATGCTGGATAAATTCATATTAAAATGGAAACTGATACAAGATTTGAGAAGAATTTTTTGAAGGATGGAAAGATGGAGAACTCTAGGCCTGTTGGTGAGAAGATTAATTAAGGAAATTAAAATTAAGGAAAATTTTACCCTTCTAATTTTAGTCAAGCCATAATCCTGAAAGCAACAGCAGTAACCAACAGGACTATTGGAAAGCAGTTAAAGCACTGATCACTGGGACAGCAGTGGCAGCAATGTAGAGGCATCTGCAGGGTTATAGTTAGAGTACCAAAATGGGGCAATTGTTGTCACAATATATGCTCCATCTCTCTTATTAAATGCATTGTGATGCTACATATAACTATGAAACAGTCGTGACATTTTCATTAATAAAATACCTTGTCTCAAATTTACATATAACAAAGATTCCTGACTACCAGTAGTCTGTGAGTGAGTTCCAAAATAACAATGAAACTGAAAAAAATATTTTTAAATAACCTAAAGGAGATGATCAGGAGATTTATTAGTTTTAAAACTCAATACGTTGCAAGATTTCAGATGAGGGCATAAACGTTTCATAACATTTAATGGTCTTCTGAGATTTTAGTCCTATGAATCTCTCTTCTTTTAAAAAAAAAATGTGTTAAAAATTTAATTTTAAAATCCTGTGAATTTATCCTTTGCTATTTCCTGGCAAAATAGTAAATCTCACCCACTTACAGGGGCTGTATTAGAAACCCCTACAATATAATGATTCCCAAAGGCTTTCAATAATTGTATATTATGTCTTGTAGAGGAAAAGCTTTGAATTTCTAGTTATATAAATTATGGGTAGGAACAGAAGTTACCCTTGACTGAAAGCATTCCCAAAAGACCAGAGATTTGAAAGAAATACATTCATCAAACAAGAAATATACTTTTTTAGATAGGCAAGATAAATCTCAATATAGGAGCCCCTAATGATCAGTATTGGTTCAGAAATATGAATAGTAATATTTCATTAAAAACTGATATACTATGAATAAAAGGGGTAGCAACTGTAACCTTCAAACCTATATTTTTTGGATTCCAGGTTGAGGAAGCATCTAATTTTTTTTGGCAGCACGGCATATAGCAAATCGTATTAGATAAAATTCCTTAAACTGAATGTCAAGTTCTTATGTTTGCTACACTGACATACATACAAATTACGTTAAAGGCTCACTTCACCTCTTTTATCTTTTTCTCATCCTAATACCACACATATTGCCACAACAACAACAACAACAACAACAACAAATCTGCTTAGGGAATATCTCCAGTGGAATTAAACAAAGCCAAGGATTTTAGGGGTCTTTCCTCTTGCTCTTCTCATTCCCCTGACTGACAGGGTCATTAACCATTTTGACCTGGGGAAACTTCTTTCAGATACCCAGACGGAAACAAAACTCATTGTGAATCACGTCAAAAGGAAATTGGGTGGTGTTATGATTATGGGTGGTTTAGAGTGATGTTGAGACAATATCTTGCCAAACACCTATTATGTAAATCCTCTGTGATGTGCCAGAGGAAGCTGAAAATCCCTCCAAGGGTATATTGAAAGGTGAATATCTTCTTAAGCCAAAGTGACTCACTAAAATGGAAATCTTGATTCACAGAACACTATCCTGGATGAATTAAATTCCTTACTTCCATTAGTGTGTTTGTGATGGACTGTTTATCCATTAATTCAGATTCCCTTCCCAGAATCACAGTAGAAGAAGGTACCATATATTGTCATATCACAGAATCTATCCACAGCACTACCAAACACAAATATGCTAGTGAAAAGTTGGATGTGTAATTGTTTCTTGCACCTGTCATATCAGCAGATGTAAGACTAAGTCTTGGGTGTGAGTACCTAATTTTCTGGAATTGTTTCTTAGTATTTCCTCCAGGAAATTCATTGTGGTAACCAAACAGGAAAGGTCTATATTGACATTCAGTCAAGGAAAGACAGAAACTGCTATCCTATTTAAGTAGTATGATTGAGTTTATAATAAGACAAAGAGGAGTTTTTACAATTAGGATGTCCAAAGCATGACAGAAAGAGTGGTAAGACTGGATTAAAGGCAAACTAATTTTTGAGAACTTCTGCATCAGATACATGCATAGTTTGGTTTGCAGGTGTGTACAGAAGCCACAAAGCACACCTACATAATTAATGAATTAATTAATTGATAACTACATTATTAATTATTTATGCGCCATCCAGTCATTTTTCACTCTTAGCAATCGTATAGATTCTCATGACAGGCCTAACCTAGTCTTTCAGTTTTTCCAACCATTGCCACTGAAACTTATTCTGTGCATCTTGTTGCTGATCATCCTCTTCTCTTTCCTTCTGCTACAGAAAAACAGTCATCATTTATAACTGTGTGGCTTATTATTTTGCCTTTTATCATGGGCCAGAGAGGACTCCATCTAACAATGCAAGTAGATGGGTCAAAACCAGAGTCATTTGAAGGCAAAATAAAGACTAAGCAAGGAATGTCAAGAAAGGGAGATTTACAGCTGGAAATGTTTCTTTCCTTGGTTCCGACCCTTGACACTGGATGCGTTTGCTGTGTCCTGAAAATTATTCTAGTGTTGTCCAACGTGAAGATGAAATAATGTCCAGCCCTCTTTTTTGAGATCAGAGTCATATCACTCCAATCCACTATTAGGCAACCTTTTTGAACCAATGGACACACTAAAAAATTTAGCCAAGATTAGTATAGCTATTCAAAAACTTCCGTTTATCAGACAGTAAAGAATTGTTTTCCACCATCCTCACTAGCTTTATTCTTGCCATAGTCTTGACTTTTTTCAGCACATCAGCACTTTTCCAGATAAAGCACTGAGTTGTTTGAATTTTATGAATATCAATGGGATCAATTGGAAACCCAAGAGATTTTTGAAAATTATGTTGACAATGTTGCCACAAGAGATACCCACATTGTTTTGGTATGTATGGGCACTATTTTTCCTATCGAGTTCTAATCCCATAAAATAAAATAAAAGGGTAAGGGGATATCACTGTGCAGTTGGATTTATGTAGCCCTGGGTGCAACGTTGCTAAAATTCATGTTTCAAAGTTTTTTCAAATGACTTCTGTTTTGCCTCTCTACTCCTCATTACTAAACTGCAATTTTATGCAAAGACCAACTCTTCAGACACAATAAAGTGAAGTTAAAAGTCATTATTCTAATTGATTATAGAGATTATTACCTAGCTGAAAAAAGTTTTACTACAAGTCTTATTATTAGACCTGAGCTTGGAGATATGTGAGGATATAAGGATATATATGTTCCCTATCATTTTTTGTGAGAACAAGGACTACTTTTTAATTATAAGGATGTCAAATGTTTGCAGGAAATGTTCCTGTATCTGATTGCTATAATTAGACTCCATTTGCCTCTTAAATATCCATTTTGGGAATACCATTTTCCTTTGTTAAGAAAGGCATTTGAAAACATTTTCAAAAATAATCCTCTTACCAGTTTGTTACAATTTCCTTAGTTCCATGTAACAAAAATATTAAGAACAAATTATATAGCACATTAAAAAATTGCCCCCCACCAAATCCTTACTACATGCTTGTCTGCCCACAATCTCCGCAAAGTCTGATGAGATTTTTCAAAACTCCTGTCACATAAGATTAAACAGTTCTGTCAGTTTCAGTTTTGCTAAGGTTCTCGTTTCTTTGGCGTAAAGTTCATATCCACAGAAGTTACAGATGGTTTTAGCGAAGTGTGAAAAATCATTTGAATGTGTTTTCATGTGCTCCCCCCAAGATACAAATTTGCACATCCTTTTCTTAATGTTGAAAGCATTGTATTTTTGTACTGCACTCTTCCAATTGTTTTAACTCATTTGCTAAAGAAATAAATCTCAATGTTTAAGAAAACATGGATTTTTTTAAAAAAAATTAAAATAAATCCCCCAGCTTTGTTCTAGTCTGCATCTAGATCCAGGAAGCATGAATTATGTTGGTGGGTGTTATAGGGTAATCCAACCTCATTTCTTCTTGCCCTAATGCTGAGTGAATTAAAGGGTGTATGAAAGTCCTTGCATCTTAAACACTTCATTTTAGCCATGTTTTTTTTAAAGCTGTTTCCCCATTACAAAGAAGCAGTATGTTGAGAACAGACACATCATATATATGCATATGAAAACAGAGACAGATCAGCCCTAAAGCAAAGAGAGACAACAGTGATAAATGGCAGATGAACGATTACTAAAAAAGAAAAAGGATATCCCAGAATCAGTGAATAAGAAGAAGCAATAATAACATGGGCGAATAATAATGGAAATCCTTTGACTGTTATTACAGAAGAAATTATTCATTTTTATTAATAGGTTACCATTCAAATTAGGTTGGCACTCACATGATGAAATGTCTTTCTATCCCTAACATCCCTAATACAGATAACTATTGGACCAGAGTTTGGAGATAAGTGAAGATACAACAGCTAGCAATAGTTAGAAGTTCTGGCAATTTCACACTGGCATTTAGTTAGAAGAAGGAATATATATATATATTTAAATAATAACTGAACTGAACATTCAGTTTCAAAGTATGCAGCAATTTGCTTCAGATGTATGTTTGTGCTGTATTCAGAACAAGAGGCAAGAATAGTGCAAACGAATAAATAAACTGAGGCAAAGGTAGGGATGTCTACAAAGGGAATGTAAAAAATGTTGCAGCCATATAAAATAAAATCCTCCCTGCTCTTTTTTTTTTAACATGCATTGCAACATCTTTGAGCAAAAGACAAGATGGACCTCCTGCATATTAAAGCTGCTCAGAACTGCAGTTATGTGTTATGTCAACTATAGTGATGGACTAAGATTTTTCCTCTTCACCATAGAGTCACTAATTAGTTCATGGGTGCAGAGCATCAACACTTACTCCTCTGCCCTCCAACCATCATCTGCACTTCCTGTTCACTCTGGCATCTGGCACCTGATGCAGCTAATAATTATGCCTGCATTGTGGTGAGACCTGTAAAACAATGCTGAACTTTCCAGTAATAATTTAAAGAATCATTTTTTTTCCTGTGTTTTCTCACACAGCTTGTTAATATAATGAATTGAGCAAGATCATTTCCAATGCAATACATTTCATCCACTGGATTGCTTTTTTAATTTTCGTGGAATGTTTCACTATTGTTTATCATACAGGTTGTTTGCTCAAGACTATTGAGGCATTATGTGTATTTAGATGTGGCTGCATGTATTCCATCACAGTTTTCACAAACATTTACACTGAGTGAAGAGATCTGCAGTGGGTTTCTATTTGTATTATGAATAAGGCAAAAGACAGGAAATGAGGTACATGTGTCATATGTCCTCAGTCATAAAAGTCCCACAGCCTCACCTGCCTTTGCTTCTAATCAACAAATCAGCATAATTAGCTGACCAGTAGAAAACAAACCCTTACTTATGGTTTATGTTGTTTAAAATCATTAGTTTTTTTTTTACAGTGGGAAACAAGCAATCTTCAAAGGGGGGACTTATGGATTTTTCCCATAATCTCAGGGAATCTGCTTCAAATCCCTAATTTGGGAAGTGGTCCATCTTTCTTTTTCTCACAGTAGTCCTATTTAAAAGTCCTAGGAGGAAATGGGATTAGAAAAAAATCAATGGACGAGTACATGCTGAGATTTTATCCCTGACCTTGTTAACCTTCAAAAAGACTTTGAAGCCCCAAATGTCCCTTCTGTTGGGAAATTAGTTGTCTCATCCTTGAGTGTTGGTGCTTATGCCTCTGGTGCTGAAGAATGATTTTCATTGATTTAGTCATTTAACTATCAAAGATATAAAACTGGTATAAAAATGCAAATAGATAACAAAGAAAACAAAACTTCATGCCCTTATTCAGTGATTTACTTTTATTGACTTTTTTCTCATTGTTGGATGTTTTGACTTGGTTTATGGTTGTATGTTGCCTGGAGTTCATGTTTATGAACTGGGCAAATGTGTACATTATTAATTAAAACATTCTCTCTCTCTCTCTCTCTCTCTCTCTCTCTCTCTCTCTCTCTCTCTCTGTGTGTGTGTGTGTGTGTGTGTATGTATTTGTGTGTGTGTGTGTGTGTGTTTTAATTAAAAAATAAGCTTTTTAATTTTTGTGTAACTTTTATTTTAATATTTTTTTGGTTCTTTACAAATTGTTTGTAATCTCACCTTACTTATGTTGTTCTATGATCATAAGATTTGTTTGACTGCATACCTGTATGTCTACATTTACACTCTGACCTATTAACTGATACCAGTGTCAGGGGCCAAAACATGTGCCTAGCCATCCCTGACCTAAACCCAAGCAAAACTCTCTACATAATGGAACTCCACTTTATCAGTGTTCCTGATTATATACTTCACATGATCTTGATTCTATCCCTCTGTTAATGCAGCCTAGACTGCATTGGCTTTTTTGACAGCTGGCTCATATTTAAGTGATTAAATACAAAGGAATAACAATGAAAATAAACCCACCTGAGGTTTCCTCCATTCAGTGTATCTTGAGGATAAGGGAGCAGCAGAGGCAATCTGCATGGCTTCATTCCTTTTATGTGTTTACAGAATCCTTCTAGTATAACACATCTAAAGGACAGTGGCTGTTCCATTAACTGATTTTAACAAGGATTTAGAATTCATTCATAAATCTAATCTCAATATTTGTTAAGGAAGTCTATGCTCTAAACCATGATACGAATGGGTCACCTCATGATTATGTTTTAAAATAGGTACATTCTATATCAAAAACTTAAAGAAAAAAAATGGCAATATCTTCTATTTAAAATTCAGTAAATATTTTGCAATGCGAGGAATGCAAGTGTTTTTTCTTTCTTTCTTCCCATTGTTATTTTTAGAAAAGGTATGTAAAACTAAATGCTGCAATTAAATACTAGATAAAAGATAAATATGAATGTGCTTTTCAGATTGCTGCCCCAGAGCCTAACATCCACATGTAGAATAGTACATGGAAAGGTAAACATCTTTCTGTTTCCAGGAAAAATAATAATTAGACGAATAGATTTCAGTCTGTGCTTACATTTTAAAATAATTATATTAAGGCTTCTTCAACTTTTGCTCTTCTCTGAACCCACACCTTTTTTGTGTGTGCAATATTTTATTTTATTAACATGACTTCAACAAAAATTAATGGCTTGGCTGCAATATTCCAGCGGTTTCTAATTCATCCAGCTAGGTTGAATCAATCATTTGGAGAAGAAAATAGAACAGTTGGCATTTCTGCTGACTTACCCGCTCGTGCATGTCTGAGATGTTTTGTTCGTAATCCTTGAAGTCCCGCTGGGTGCCATGAGACCTCTTCTGGTGCCATTCCCGGATGCAGCCTTCCAGCTGTGTGTTGGCTTCCTCCAAAGATCGTACTTTTTCTAAGTAGGAAGCCAAGCGGTCATTCAGGTCCTGCATGGTCCGCTTTTCGTTCCCTCCCATGAAGAGGTTACCCTGACTCCCACTGAAGGCTCCCCAGCTTGTCCCAGCATCAGAAGCTATCCAGATAGGGCTTCCAAAGGACACAGGCATGGGAAGGCTGCTGCTTATTCCATGGAAACTGGAAGTTCTGTAGCAATCGCCTATAGGCTGGAGAAGGCATCCTGTGGCTCCTCCAAGGGAGCCAGAGGAAAAGTGGTAGAAGCCATGGCTAGAATTCATCCTGATGTCAATTAAGACCTGGTTGTACTACCAGCACTTCTGTCTCCCTCTCTTCTTTTTGACTCACCGGCACTGACTGAGAAATGTCTCAACCTTCCTGAAGCACTTTTAAAGCCTTTCCCTGTGGGAGTTACCTTGTTAAGTGGCTATGCCAACAAGGATTGTGTCATCACCAGCTATGTTGTTTCCTCTTGGTCAATTCTGAAAAGCCTGATTAGCCGGCAAATACAATTGTTGTCATTCTTTGAAAAAGGGACCTAGTAAAAGCTTTCATTTCTTTCTCTCTCTCTCTCTCTTGCCTCTTTTTTCTTCTACTTCTTTCTTTGGCATTTTATCAGTGAGGTGTGGCCAGAGAAGGGAGGGGTACGGTGTAGAACCGAAACAATCCAGCCTCTGCTTCAGGTTTCTTGAAATCACAGGAACTCTCTCTATTAAGTTAAGCTGTTTGAAAAGCAAAAATTATCCATGATCCTGAAAAGCATTATATTTCCTGGTGTCATGCTTTAAGGGAAAAAGTTTCTAAACAGCTGTATTATATTTCTCACAACCATTCAAAGCACTATATGTATTAATCAAATTATTATGTAAACTCTTACAAGAATAGGCAACTGTACAATAAATCTTTCATTGACACATTCACATTCTCTACAGAAGTCTACAAAATTATCCTCTCGATTTATTTGTCTGTACACCATAGGACCAATTCCAAGTCAGATAAATCAGTGAATGGATATACATTGACAGTTTTTCTCTCAGTTGACATTTCCTGCCAATACTTTCTGACAGCAAAAGGAGACATTTTAATTTATTCCATAGTAATGTTATAACCAGGTTTACACAACATGCTACCAAGATACAATTGCTGTGTCCACATTGCATATTTTGTCTAAACCAGTTAACTATTATGGCTTGACAGGATGGTTCATTCAACATATAGATATAATGGTTGGCATCCCACATCAGGATATATACTATAAGGCCAGGGATGGGTTCTAAAAATTTTTACTACCGGTTCTGTGGGTGTGGCTTATTTTGTGGGCATGGTTTGATGGTCATGTGACAATTCTTTAGGATTTAGCAGAGGTACTGGTCTACCAGGCTTTTAATTGCTTGCAGAGCTGTACCTGTCTACCCATTTGTTTTTGGAGCGCACCAGTCTACCCATTTATTTTTGGAGCGCACTGGTCTACCACCACACTGCCTTTTACCACTGATCAGCTGTAGGGCAGCCCTTTGAAGTGCCGCAGCAAGAGTTTAAACAGTTTTTTTTCCTTCTAGCCAATCAGCTGGGACTCGGGAGGCAGTGAATAGATTGGGGGCGGGGCCAGTCAGAGGTGGTATTTACCGGTTCTCTGAACTACTCAAAATTTCCATTACCAGGTCGCAAGCACCGGGGAGAACCGGTAGCAACCCACTACTGTACAAGGCCCAATTTAGCCTGTCGCCCATGTTGAATGAATCTATAAAAAGTTAAGTTACACTTTCTTCAATTTTCACTCATTGCTTTTCTTTGTAATTTTTTAAACTTCAGTCTTAAGTGCGAGGATTGCCACATCAGAAATATTATGAGTTACTTTGAAAGTCATTTGGAGATAAGAATAGTTTTAAAAATATTTTTTAAAGTGAAGTAGCTATAGCTGGCAGCTTTCTCCCTGTATGTGGGCTGAGACTAACAAATTAACTAACTAACCAGGCATGGCAATGATCAATCACTATGTACAATGTGCTGCAGATAAAATTATTAGATAGATAGATAGATAGATAGATAGATAGATAGATAGATAGACAGATAGACAGACAGACAGACAGACAGACAGACAGACAGACAGATAGATAGATAGATAGATGGATGGATGGAGGGACGGACAGACAGATAAGAATCTAACATCTTCTGCATGTTTCTTTCCTCTCAAGCATAGCTTTCCATGACTTGGCACCCTCCAAATATATTGGATTGCAACTCCCATCATCTTTAATCTGCATAGCCATCTAGAGAGGCCCAGGTTAAGGGGAAAGTGCTCTAATATAATCAAAACCCAGAATCTAGGAATGGAACTAACTACACAGCCAAAAAATTTGTGTACAGGTAGGCCTCAACTTTTAGTGACTGTTCTAAGTTACAGTGGCACTGGAAAAAATGACATTTTTATGACCATTTTTCACTATTGCAGCATCTCTGGTCACATGTTCAATATTCAGATGTGTGGCAACTGACTCATATTTATGATGATTCCAGGAATTATGGGATCATCTTTTGCGACCTTCCCACAAGCAGTCAATGGGGAAGCCAGATTCACTTAACAACTGTGTCCTTAACTTAACAACTGCAGTGATTCACTTAACAGCTGGGACAAGAAAGGTTGTAACGTAGGGTAAAATTCACAACAAATGCCTTGCTTAGCAACATACATTTTAGGCTCAATTATTGTTGTAACTCAAGGGCTACCTGTAGTTAATTTCATTCTCTGGGTCAAATGAGCTGTAATGTTGAAGCTCTTGGAGCTCAGAGCAGATGGTTATGATTAGGAACACTGTAACGTGGGAGTATTCCCTACCACTGATAAAGGTTACCCACAACCTATTATAGATCATGTATGGAGAGTCTTACATCCCTGCTCTGGATATTTCCTTGCCACAGTTTACAGAAAATTGGTATAGCTAGAATTTCTTTACACCTAGGTATGAATTGCAACCCAATCACCTTTAAAAGTGTTGGACTACAATTCTCATACCGTATTTTCCGGCGTATAAGACGACTTTTTAACACATGAAAATCTTCTCAAAAGTCAGGGGTCGTCTTATACGCCAGGTGTCGTTCTCCTGTAACCAGGCAGACCAGCCGGAAAGGCTCTGACGAGCCTTAAATGGCTCTGGCGATCCAAGCTCTGACGATCCCAGCTGAGTTGCCCAGCTGGATCGCCAGAGCCATGTAAAAGGAAAAAAGTTTTCCTCCTCCAGCTTGCTTACCTTAGCTGCTAGTCGCAACGCTTGCCTTGCTTCGCTTGCCTGACTCCATTCCACCAGCAAGCAACTCCCTGCCTGCAATCAAGCAGGCAGGGAGTTGTGGACTTCAACTCCCAGAATTCCTCAGCCAGCAAAGCAAAGCTGGCTGAGGAATTTTGGGAGTTGAAGTCTACAAGTCTTAAAGTTGCCAAGATTGGAGACCCCTGTTCTCTTAAGTAAGTTTTTTCCCCCTTTGGGAGCTTTAAAAAAAATAGTTAATTGGGGGTTTTTTAGTTGTTCTTTTTTAGACCTAGCCATTTAAAGTTTAGGAAGTTTTAAATTTAGCTTTCATATAAAAATAAAAATAAAACAAAATAAAATAATATTTGTGCAGCTTTCTGAGATTTAGTGTGTTTCTGTAGTGTTTCACTCTAACTACACAAACACACAAAATCTCACAAAGCTATATGTGGAATTTTGTGTGTGTAAAGTGTGAAAGTTGGGTTTTTGGGCTTTTTGTGGCTGTGTGAGTTTCCTGCTTGTTGCAGGGGCCATTTTGGGTCTAGCACAGCTGCTTTTACATTGTGGGTGAGCCACAATGTATGATGTTTTTTAATTTTTATTTGGTGTGCGTTGGAAGAGGGGTAGTCTTATACGGCGAGTATAGCCCAAACCCTATATTTTAACAGGAAAAGTCGGGGATCGTCTTATTCGCCCAGTCATCTTATACGCTGGAAAATATGGTAATTTCTTCTAGGTTTTTTTTCATTTAACATAACAGTTGGTAATTTCTCCCAATTTAGCTTCTTAGCTTGGAAAGAACACTAAAATAAACATTTCTGTCCCCTTCTCAAAATATTTTCTGAGGAAGTTTATAAATACTCAGTTGATTTTAAATTCATCTTAATGCATTTTGCACCCAGTACATGCAAGCAAACATACGGAAGCATATGTAGGGGAAAAATGACAGCAAATACACTGATATTGGGTCAGTAGGTAAAAACACAAGACAATTGTAGCACCTGCAGATACTTTTCTGGGATGGCAAAACATTGAAGCTTTAATTCCAGAATCTGTTCTATGATGTTTTCTTCCTGTGCTTTCAAGTATAAGATCCCTGTAATTTTACTTTCCAGTTTTTTTTTTCTTTTTGGAAGCGTGATAGAGTCACTAACAACAATTTGAAGAAAAATCCACTGTGGTTTCTAATTATAAAACAGAGAGAATGGCAGGCTATGCAACACCTTGTCTAAACAAATTCTAACTTGTCTTGTCCCATGCTTACAACTGGTCTGTGTTATTGAGAAACATTGCCAAAATTGTAGATTCTCATGCCATTTTTAGATAGGGAGACCCATCAAGTTTACAAATTATGGCTTTGACAAATCTGTTTAGTATAGTAGTAGTAGGATCTAATTGGCAATTAGTGATTTTCTACAGAGGAAATGTAGCCAAAATCCGCCCCCCCCTTTTTTTTTTGGCTTGAGCACAATTGGGCAACTCGCCTTTCAAACCTGTCTGGCAGATTAAATATAGTTAGTTGTTGTCAGAGTTATTGGGGGAGAGTGTGGAAAGTATCTTACAGAAGTCACTATTCACAATCTGGCTCTCTTAGGAAGTTTCTAGGTGTTGTTGCCGATATGCTAGAATTAGGGCTCTTTGAGCACAACATATTTTCCTGATATTGGGAGACCTGGATTCTCCCAATCCAAGGAGAATTGGATTCGTGTTGGCGGCTTACTGAGTTCTTCTGATGTCTATTGCCATGGTTGTCTCTTTCATAGTCAACTCTTGTTCGGACAGCAAAAAGAAGAAAACCCCAGACCCAGTATATTATTTTATTTGTGATCTAGTCCAGAGTCCTTTGCTTGGTAACTTCTCTTGAAATAATCCTTTCTCTCTGCCAAATTGGAATATACTTTCAATTAAATGAGGCTGGGAACACTGATCTGTTACCTTTTAATTCATTTCCCCCCTCTCTCCCCCCCTTCTCCCCTTCTCTCCTCCCTCCCTCTCTCCCTCCCTCCCTCTCTTTCTCTCTCTCTCTTTCTCCCTCCCTCTCCCTCTCTTTCGCTCTCTCCCTCTCCCTCCCTCCCTCTCCCACTTCCCCTCTTCTGCCTCCCCCCCTCCCATGTGTAGCATAAAGCTT